GATGGAGCTACTGCCTTGGTCAGTGGTAGAGGCCTGGGAGGGTTTGCCCTGGGATCCTGGGACAAGGACTCCTTCCCACCTGCTGGACTGGGGAGGAGGAGGCACCACGGCCCCCCTGGGCAGGGTCTCAGAGCCTCTGCCTCCAGTCCTGATGCCGGGACTAGAGTGTAAGGGGACGTCCTAGGGAGAAGTCTGTATCTGGGGACTGGGTGTCGCAACAGGTGTGTGGCCTTGGACGTATGTCATTGGTGCTGGAGCTTCTCCTGTAAAATGAGATGGTGGCTAGATTTTTTTTCAACTCATTTTATTGAGGGCTCGTACAACTCTTATCACAATCCATACATACATCAATTGTATAAAGCACATTTGTACATTCGTTACTACCCTCATCATTCTCAAAACACCCAGCTCGCTCTCCACGTAAGCCCCTGGCATCAGCTCATTTATCTCCCCTTTAAGTCTTGACATCAACTACCCTCAGTTCTGTTTCACCGAGCCTTACATAAACTATTAATCAACCAGATATTAAAATCATCAACCTGCATCAGGAAAACATGTTTATTAGATATTTTAGTTTTATCAAAACTTTATCATGTATGCTCCAGGCACATACACGTACTGTGCTTTGCAGGGTTAAAATCATAAAAATGCTCTCATTTTGTCCCAAAACCTAAGGAACTACTGTTCTCCTTAGAGGTTTCCATTGGGGAATAAATAGCATGAAAACAACAAGAAATCACTGTCTTACCTTACAAACGAACTCTTCCATTCTCTCCATGGCATGATGGGCTTGTAAGAGAGGGGACATGCCCATAAACCTCTCATCTTCCTGAGAGGCTTCATCATTGCACTCGTGTTCCTCAGAACTCTGCCAGGTAATCACAGAGACAATCATGGTCAGACACTGGAGTCACGTGAAACAATCAACACAGTCAGAATGAAACTCTCTCTCATAAGGTCAAAACAAAGCCCCAGATAAGTATCAATTTATTGTAGAATTATGGATATTAAAAGATGATTGTTTCCCAAGCTTCTCAACAATCAAATAATCCATCTACTACAACAGCATCCCTTTTTGTTTCAGTAAAAATTCCTGGAGTAATTTTATTAGTTTGTTTTTCAAGAGTTATTTTCTAAGACCATGTAGTATTATAAAAATTAAAGAAATCAATGAAGGGAAAAATTCTAAGCATCTTAACACATGGCAGCTACAAATCATTGAAATAAAGTGTGATAAGTGCTTGGGGAGATGTGTGTGAGTTTGGGGTGGGGGTGGGAGTGTTAGGGAAAAGAGAATACTTGCTAAATTCTCAACATATGGCAAGCAGTAAAAGGTTATCAACTTATAAGTCTTCTAATACCTTATTAGATACCTATTCTTATCACTGTTTTTCAAGCATCAAGGAGTTGCTAATTAGGATCAGAAAAACGTGGGTGGCAGAGACTGCAGTTCCCAGGGTTAGAAGATTATAAATTAGGACTAAGGTAGCAGAATTAAACAATGGCTAGAAAAAGAGGATAAGAAATGCTAAAAATTTGATGGGGTGATGATTGTACAATTCTCCTTGATATGATTGAACGATCAAACTACTGAATTGTATGATATGTGAATTATGTCCCCAAAAAACTGTTGGAGAATAAACCGTCTTTAAAAGTGCTCATGCGGGAGGGGGGAGCGGGGAAGGAGGGGAAAAATGAGGACCTAATGTCGGGGGTTTAAATGGAGAGAAAATGTCTTGAGAAACGATGTACAAATGCGCTTTACACAATTGATGTGTGTATGGATTGGGATAACAGTTGTATGAGCCCCTAATAAAATGTTAAAAAAGAAAAAAAAAAGTGACAAGGAAGACAAGGAAGGAAAGCTTTCCCTGGGTCTATGTCACATACTGACAGTTCAGAAAGCTTGTACTACTGTAGAAATACAGTCCCTGACTTCCATTATAAATCCTTTTCATTAATGGAAATTATTATTTCCAATTTCCCATCCAGCAACTACTAGCCACTATACTTAATGCTCTCACACAACACTAATTTGCATCTACATTTAAAGAATCACATACAAGTACTAAATACATGCTATACTTAGCTTCACTATCATACCATTAACCCACCAAGACAATGTTCAAGAAAAACCAAACATTGTAGGAAAGGATTATGCGATTGAAACTGAAGCTGTCCAACTAAAAGCATAAAAAATACACTCTCTCAGCTTTCTATGAATAAACCACCCTATATTTAAACTTGAAGAGAGGTCGGTGCTCTCAACTGAGTACAAAGACACTCAGTTGCCTCTCCTCTATTCAGAAAACCGATCTGCAAGAAGACGGCGTTAGAGATGAAGCTGCTTCTTTTCAAAACACAATGCCATCTGACTCTGATTATCTGTCCAAAATGCAGCCTAAAATGACAATCTAGAGTATATTTTGCCTTTGGGAAGGCAGAAAACCACACAGACAAAAGATAAGGCATGTAACATAAGTCTAATATGAAAAGAATTCATAAATCTATGAGATGCTTCATCTGGTTTAACCCATCACTGCCCAACAGAATTAACTAAAATAAATATTTGAGAGGATTTTAATAAAATGAATAAAGTATAATCACTGTCTTTATGGGGTTGAGTAGTCACATGAATAACTGTAATAAAAAAAGGTATGCGTAGTTCAAAGATAGAGACTGTGTAGCTCAAATTGACTCCAAAATACATTCTGGAATAAAGGAATGGCAGAGAGAGAAAGAAGAAAAATCACACTGGAAAAGATACATGCAGGAGAGCAGCAAGACATAAATAACATTTTAAATATTGGTTGATGTCAGTAGACAAACTGCCAAAGAAAGCTGCGATCATACCACCATGCATGGATATTAGAAAACTATCCAGGACATGGTCAAACACCTCGATGTGAGCCCCGCATACCCTTGTTGGACATCAGCCTGCCTTTACAGATATGGTTGAGAGCGGAGCCCTTCTGAATCCATACAGTTTCAGTATGAGGACTGAGATCTAAGGCCCCTACATCAACACGACTTTAATATTACTAGTTCCATGAAAATTCCACCCAGAAGAAAAGAATGCAAACCAGCAAATGACTTCATTAATAGCTTCCAGAACTTTTCAAACATTCACTTAATCTAACAAAAAAACTGTTCAACTAAGTCCTTTCTAGGACAATAAATTGCTCGACTAGGTAAATCTGTTCCCTTATCAAACAAATATTGACTCAAGAAGCCCTGCTGTAGCACATCCTGAAACTCGGCCCATCTCAACAAGATCCTTATATTGACAGAGCTGCCTGCACTTAGCTCTGACACTAAGACTATCCACCCATTCTCTCTCGTTACTGAACCACTGCTGAGACTCCCGAGGGTTATGCTCATGTTTACTGCAGGAAGTAGTAAATCTAGTTTGTTTGATCAACAGGTAACTTTGATGATCTTTTTTGTAAAAAAGCCAGTCAACAAGCTAAATCTAACCTTAAATTCCAAAATCTGAGGCTTATAGTAATTTTCCCAAAAATTTTAAAGCCTCCTCATATACCTTTAACCTGTATTCACCATTTACCTCTATTAAAGTGGCATAGAAACGAATTTTAAAATCATCTCATTCATCTTATTCTCACTAGCAATTCTCTACTCTTAAATTTGTTAGGTAGACTTTCCCAGAGAAATAAAATAAAATGACTGACAGACAAGAATCTCTTTGTAAGTTAGCTTTCATTCAATAAACACACAGTGGCATTCTTACCAATTTGGTTTCAGTAAACCACTTAAACAAAATAATTCCTTGGTTGAGTGAATAAAAGTTGGCTCCTAATCCCCCATTAAAAAGAATTTGGAGCACAGGAAAAGTAGGACAACCTTACAGGCTACTCTCTTTATTCTACATAAAACCTTGGAAACTCAGAGGTGTGAAATAAATCCATAGAGCTGAAGATCAGGGCAACTTGGTATGAAATGCTTCTTTTATATTTTTGTCTGAAAGCTCACGAAATGTTTC